GTGTAGATCTAAAAGAAGATGAAGAAGAAAAAGAGGAAGAAATACAAATCTAGACTCACCATCACCATCGCAGTCACCGCCACAATCGCCGCCGCCATCTCTGTCACAATCACCGCCGCCCTCGTTGTCACAATCGCCGCCATACTCAGATCTAAAAGAAGGGGGACAAAAATAAGAAGAAAAACGGAGGGGGAGAAAGTAGAGAGGAGGAGATGGACGGGGGAAGAGGAAGAGACAATTCAAAGAGAAAGAAGAAGAAGGAAAGAAAGAAATTGGGAAAAGAGAAAAGGGTGGGGGACGACAGGAAGGGTGATCTGGGGACGGGAAGGGATCTAGGGAATTTGAGAGAGTAAATGAAATTGAATGATAAGGGTATTTTTGGAAGAATTAGGGTTAAAATTAGAAATGGGAAGATTATTTCCGGACGGGGAAAAAGGAGAAATGGGAAGATTATTTCCGGACGGAGGGAGTATTAACGCAAAATATATATTTGTATATATTTGATATTTGGACATCTTAATTATATGATAATTAAGTTTGTCAAATATTATTTAAGGAACAAAATATAACATAATTATTATATATATATGTATATGTGCGTGTATATATATATATATATATATATATATATATATATGTATGTATGTATGTATGTATATGTATGTATGTATGTATGTATGTATGTATGTATGTATGTATGTATATGTATATATATGTGTTCGACGTGTATATATATATATGTGTGTGTGTGTGTGTGTGTATAATAAATGTTATATTATTTATTTTGTGTTAATTATATGATAATTAAAGTTGACAAAATAAATTGGAAGCTTCCTTAAAGTGGGATTTTCGAAATTACCTAAGTTGAATAGGAATGAGATTTAATTTCCTTGCTAAACTCTAAAATACATTCCTATTAGGAATAGGAATGAGAATTATACTCCTTATAAATAGGAGATCATCCTACCCCTTTTAAGATGATGAGACTTTCGGCCCTAGCATAATTTTAAGAGAGAAGAATTTGTTTGTTATCTTAATACTTTACACCAAATGTTTTATATTTTACAAAGTTTATAATATATTTTATGACAAGTTGGATGACAATATATTACTTAAGTAATATATTATAAACTTTTCCTTATAGACTTTTCCTCCATATATTTTATGACAAGTTGGATGACAATATATTATAAACTTTTCCTCCATATATTTTATGACAATATATTACTTAAGTTACGCACTTAAAAATAGAAAATAATTCAAAGGCTCAAGTTGAATCATATCCTTGACCACATATAGAGGATCATCAACTCTCTATAAGGCCCGAAGTCATGTAATTCAAAGGTCTTTTGGATCACTTTGAACCCCAACTCACCTCAAGCGCTCAAACAATGATTCCAAAAGATGAAAACGTTTATAAAAAACGAATCTCTCTTTCATTCTAACTCTCATGCATAATTTATCCACAAAGAACATTTTATACACTTAAATAAACTTTAATGTCTAATGATGAAAATATTTAGTAGGTCTCCTTGAAGAACTCAAGCATAAGAATTGTAATCTATTCACATAAGAAAACATTACATATTTTCAAAAACTTAAAAATTGTTTTTGTGCTTAAACAACCTTAAATTTTATGATAATAATATAAAACAAACGAAGACATAAACAATCACTGAATAATGAATCTTAAGGAAAACGTCCAACTTATGGGGCTAAGAAGTCCATAAACCTTAAAATTTCACAAAACACATAGCACAACGAAGAATCACGTATGAATTCGAGAATCATTTAACTATAATATGGAACTAAAATAGCTTCAATGAAAACCAAATTCGACATACCAACCTACTTATGAAATAAAACCGTGCAATTCAACCAATTCAACAACAATTTGCACAAAAATTGAAGAAAACTAATATGAATCAATTTTCATTAATAAGGGATTTAATATAAACATTAAAAAACCATAAAAGAACCCCAACCATTTTGGAATTTTCAAAATTAACACAAACAAACAAAAAAATGTAAGAATTAAACTAAAAGCAACACTTTACTAATAATTGGAGAAAACATTGAAGAAATAACATATAGGGTTACAAATTTGTTGAAAAAGATGATGAAATTGAAGAAATTTGAGCTGAACCATGAACAGAGTTGGAGATCGGCGCCTATCGTCGATCGGAGCTGCAGCCGTTACCGTCGCTGCCGCTGGTTGTCGCCTCCTCCACCGCCCACCGCCGCGGCCTAAGCCGCGGCTCTCTCTCTCGTCGTTCCCCCCTTTTCCTTTTAGCTGCAATTGTTCTTCAATTTATACCCGGATGATTGTTCCGTTGATTTCTTCCCATTGGAGAATTGATTTTAGCGATAAATGTGGGGGAGCGTTGGAGCGCCTGGATCGATTCTCTCCGCGGTGAAGAAGAAGTCGTGCAGGTCTATTACTTCTCTTTTTTTCCCTTTTACGTGTGAATTGAATTGGGATGGAGTGATGGCTTATTTTCCCTTGGGTCATGCTACACTTACACCACAAATTGTACCCCATTTGTACACCGCAGTTATACACAAACATTTTGATGGTTTACACCGACACGAGTGTTGGTGCGTTAACAAAAATTTACACGGACACAAAGTGTCGGTGCATTAACAAAAATTAATTTTACACCAACACAAAGCGTCGGTGCAAACCTGCGGGGTACAAAGTGGCGTATAAAAGTTGGGGTAAGAATAGCTTTATCCTTTTCCCTTTTACGTCCAAATTCAACCTCTTCTTTTGAAACTTGAACTCTAATTTGATCTTTTCTATACTTTTTTCCAAAAAACAAGATATCTGAAACTTGGGTTAGAAAAATAAAAGTAAAAGAATGTAAAAAAATGATTATAAACTACTATTTATGAAAGAAAAATAAAAGATAGTAAAATTAAGAATTAAAATTAAACTAAGCTAAAAGACTAAAACTTAAATTTTAAAAATATTAAAAATGCCTAAAAAAAATAAAAAGAACTAACCCAAAAACGATTTATCAAATACCCCCCACACTTATGACTTGAACGTCCTCGTTGAAAAGACTAAAAAGAGAACCCATTTGAATTTCAATCATCATCAAGAAGAACAAAATGTACTTTACACACTAATACTTAAAACCTTATGCCCATAGCTTTTTAAAAACAAGGTGAGCTAAAAATCCTACAAGGATGAAGATCTAAACTGTGGATTATTCGGGTTCTAAAAAAATGCTCTAAAGTTGCCACAAAAAAGTTTCCTAAGGGAACCCTATGGTTTAGAAAGGCTCAATGGCAACGGTAGCAACGATTTAAAAAAAACCTAAAAATAAAAGGTCACACAATTTTCAAAAAATAAACAAAAAATTCCTAAAACTAGTTTCTTTTTTAAATTTTAATAATTAAATAAGGTTATTAAGACAACATCTAGATAGTATGTGGATGACCAGTTCTAAAAAATAAAATACTAAGGTTCTCCTAGAAGGATCCAAACACTTAGGTTTAAGGTCATTTACTGAGAAAATGGGCATTAAGACTCAAGAAGAGTTTATAAAGCATAAATTTGTCATCTTTTAGAACAAAGCTCAACAAAAGAAAAAAATTGAAGTTTTTGGGTCAATTTGAAAATAATGATCTAAATAAGAAGACATGCAACTAAGAATAACATAATATTTGGACCCAAAACTTATCCAGAAAAAAAAATTGCCCAAAAATTAATCTCCCCAAGCAACGGAATAATAATGAGAACCTCCCTCCACACTTAAATCATGCATAGTCCTCGATACATCTAAATGATATGCAAATAAATAATAATGATATAACCAAGAGAATAAGTCAAGAGAGAAAGGGATAGGGAGATTCAACTAAAAAGTATGCACAACATCAATTCATCACTCCCAATCTTTATCATGCTTTTCTTGGACCTAAAAATCTTCAAAAAGAAGGCTAAGACCAAGTTTTTTTAGCATTGAAGAAGAAAAAAACAGATTTCAAATATGTAGATTTTTTCTAATTTAGCACATATAAGCTGAAAAAAGTGTAGAATTTTCATTTTACACCCAAAAAACAGCTCACAAAGTGCATATTTTTCAGTTTATAGCCCAAAAATCAGATTGAGAAGTGCAGAGTTTTTCCATTAGTACCCAAAAATTAGTTTTTCCATAACTAATTATGGTTTTCTTTGGGATATGAAATAACTCCAAGAAACTTTGCTTAAGATCTTACCGGCTAACATTAGATCTTACAGCTCGTTGCCATTTCTCAGACTTGATGGTCATAAGATTGGTTAATGACTCATCTCATATTGTGAGTCAAAAGCCGAATCATATTCAGACAGACCTAATCTAAACTTGTGTTATTTGAGCAATCTTGAGACACAACATATTGTATCTCTTGCTCATGTTCCATTCTTAGAAAGGTAATTAATGTCCTTTCAATCTTGAACTCTTTCAAGATCTATCTTCCTCCCATTGACTTTCAAGAAGAGGAATTTCTTCTTTAAGAAAACTCTAATATGAGTAACGAACACTCTGTTCTCTAATATGTGAAAGAACAGAATTGGCATTTTAGCTTATGAGACTTCAAAAAGCCTCATTGTGCAATTCTTTAAGTAGGACATCTAAGGCATAGCCCTCTTTGAATGGAACTAGGTTAGTAGCATAAGTTGAAGAATGAATATGCTTAAAAAGATTTAGTAGAGTATTATGACTTATCATAGTGGAGCGAATATCCTAAGCTCTTTATAATTCTTCATTCAACTCTAGTTTTAGTATTCTCTTTCTCAATCATATTGAAGAATTTCATACTAAAAACTCTATTGGTATTTATGTTATATCTCGTACATGTTAGTCGGTTTAGACGTTGTGCCCACGCCTTAGGGGGGGGTGAATAAGGCGTTTAAAATCTTTTTGGAGTTTGATAAAAACAATGTTGGCAAATGCGGAAGCAATATATAAAACGCAGAAATAAAAGCGTAAATAAAATGCACACCGAATTTATACTGGTTCGGGAACTCCCTACTCCAGTACCTCGAGGCTCCTCCTCAAGGATTTCCGAATCCACTAAGTCCCGGCCTCTTGAACTCCGTTAAAGCACCGCACTAGTTTTGGCAAACAACCCTTGCCAATAGGATTCACTCCGAGATTTCACCATGCCTATCTCGAACCGTTTACAACGAAGATTTAACGGCTATCTTCTACCGTTCCCCCAAGGATTTCAAAGGCTATCCTTGAACCTTTACCCAAGGATTTATACGGCTATCCTTAACCGTTACAACGTGAGAATTTAATGGCTATTCTCGACCGTAGGAAGGTGTGTTTGAAAAACACAAACAAGAGTTCTACACAACGGCTTGAATATAAAAATGAAGAACAAAACTTAGCCGATGTAGTGTTAGAATAAGTGACCAACGCTAGAGGGGGGGTGAATAGCGTTTGATCGTAGAAATCGCAGGAATAAAAAATTAAGAACGTGAAAGATAAAGAGCGTAGAAAGCATAAAGGGAGCACACCAAGATTTATACTGGTTTACCACAACGTGTGGCTAATCCAGTCTCCCGAGAGACTCTCTCGAGCTACACTACTTTCTCGTTAAGCTTACGAGTGCTTAACAAACCGTTAGAACCTGAGAACTCGAGTCCCACGAGTCTCAACAACACTTGCTCGGAGATACCGCACTCCAAGACTTCAACCCGAAGGAAAATACCTTTCCTTCGTACAACCAAGGGAAACAAGCTTCCCTTAATGTGTATACAACACTAAGTGTTAGACAAGGCGTGCAACTCTAGAGGGGGGGTGAATAGAGTTGTTGAGAATGTTTACCGATTTTCGCAGGATTAAAAATATAAACGTAAGTGCAGCGGAAATAAAATAGAGAAGGCAAAGAACACACCGATGTATACTGGTTCACCACCTCGAGGCTAGTCCAGTTCCCCGAGAGACTCTCTCGAAGCTACCACTACTTCCATTAAGCTTACGGATGCTTAACAAACCGTTTACAACTCGAGAACTTGAATCCCACAAGCCTCGACACAACCGCTCGTAGATATGCCCTCTACAAGACTTCACAACCAAGACTTAAATCACATAAGCCTTGAACAACAAGAAGAACAATCTTCTTCAACCTCTCAACAATAGCTCTCAAAGAGTAGATAAGAGAAAAGATTAAAGCTCTAATGGATGACAAGAAACCTCTCTTAAAAACAAATATTTTCTCTCAAAATAATATAAATTTGAGGAAGGATTGATGGAGGATTAACACCTCAAGAATGGGGAGTATTAGAGTGTTTCTTGTTATAAAAAATGACCAAGTAAGAGTGTTTAAATAGGAGGTGAAGAAATATATCCGTTGGTCCAAGAAAAAGAAGCTTTGCAGAAAAGATGCAGCATAATAATCGATTAATGCATCACCAATAATCGATTAATGCATCATCAGCAACGATCAATGCAGCTGAAGGAAAATCGATTAAATTAAAGGGATTAATCGATTAGAAGGTTCTGTAAAAACTAATCGATTAAAAGGAAGGAAAAAATCGATTAACCTCAAGACCTGAGAAATCCAACACTAAACAACATAATTAATCGATTAAGCACTTAAGGTTTAATCGATTAAGTTAAAGTGAAATAAGATCTAATCGATTAATGTAGGAATGTTAATCGATTAATAAAGAAATAATGCGCAAACACAAAAGGCCCAAGGCCAGTTGCGATGGAGAGCAGAATTGGCGTAACACTCGTTGTTTGAGACAACGGGAATCAGGGAAGCGCTCCTCCTCTCTTATTCAATGAATTTGAATAAGGGAGTAAAGTGAGTCCAAAAATATTTTGTGTGTCAAACGATGTACATGAAAAATATTTGAATAAAATATTTTTGCTTGCCAAAAATATTTTATAATATCAAAATAGATATTTCATAAATGTTTGGCACACCTTTTGTAACTGACTCAATAAAACTATCTTGAACAGTTAAAAAGATTTTTCAACTGACTCCAAAAATAAATATAATTTTTACTTTAACTCTCATAAAAATAATTTTGGAGAGAAGATATAAATTTTTGTCAACCTTACAATAATTCCTAAGACTCAAATAAATAAAAAGTCTTCGGAAATCTTCTACTCCTCTGAGTCCTCCGTTAGGCGCTCCGAACGCGTCTCGAACTCTAATAAAATCCTGTGCACCTTCTTGAATACTTCAAGGAATGGTGTTAGTCGGTTTAGTCGTTGTGCCCACGCCTTAGAGGGGGGGGGGTGAATAAGGCGTTTAAAAACTTTTCGGAGTTAAGTAAAAATGGTGTTGGCAAATGCGGAAGCAATATATAAAACGCAGAAATAAAAGCGTAAATAAAATGCACACCAATTTTATACTGGTTCTGGAACTCCCTACTCCAGTACCTCAAGGCTCCTCCTCAAGGATTTCCGAATCCACTAAGTCTCGGTCTCTTGAACTCCGTCAAAGCACCGCACTAGTTTGGCAAACAACCCTTGCCAATAGGATTCACTCCGAGATTTCACCACGGCTATCTCGAACCGTTTACAATGAAGATTTAACGGCTATCATCTACCTTTCCCCCAAGGATTTCAAAGGCTATCCTTGAACCTTTACCCAAGGATTTATACGGCTATCTTCGACCGATACAATATGAGAATTTAACGGCTATTCTCGACCGTAAGAAGGTGTGTTTGAAGAACACAAAAGAGGATTCTACACAACGGCTAGAATATAAAAATG